CACTTGATGGAAGGTCGAATTAAAATTTTCCGTGGCTACCGTAGGGCCGTATCGTAGGTGGTGTACCAGGGCCCCGGAACTTAGGGGCCCTTGAACCTTATCTTTGAGAAGATATAAGCGTAGAAGAAAAGGATTTTTTAACGTTCTTGTTACAATTTATGATTTTGGAGGTTCATTTAATTCAAGCTATGCTAGAAGATGGGACGAGGACCCGATTCTTTCTTGAGCCTTAGGATTAGGTAGACCGGGGCCCTTGTCTACCTAGCTACGCTACTGTCGACAGCCTATCTTGTTTAGATGTTACATGGCTATTGTATTTCGCCTTCCAACAAGTTAACTTCACGTTGATTATGTACCTTTTGATTTGGACTTCAATCCACAGACTGTACCGCAGATTAACACTTCTTGAGGTGGTGATAATTCACAGACATTCTCCAGCTATTTTCAGACATACATATTTTTGAAAAATTATAAATTTAAAAATCGAAAATAAAATTCGAAACAGATTTCGACTCGGTAGCTAGTACAAGAACAGCACGGAAGCTCACATTGGTAGAGTAACAGAGAACAGCCGAGTCGAAATTTTTTTCAATTTATTTTAATTTAAATTATATAGTGCCTTCGGGTGCATGTAAAAAATAAAAAAGTTTTCAAGATTATAAATTATTTTTAGAAACATATTAAATCTAGTGACAATCAAACCTACGACCCGTTAAATATTTATCATCACAGCGACAAGCCTGTCGTTATACTATCAATCATTATTATGTACACGTATTTGGTTATTTGCAGATATGAACAAAATTTATCTTATCCAAACAATCGTGTGACCTTCTACTTTTTATAACCCTACATCCTAAGTTAAGTACGTTGTTTTATCTAAGACAATCTTGCTTATCTACTAAAAATCCGCATTTAAAGTGGATTGTCTTCATCTATCTTTGATCTTACGTAGTTTTTATTATGGATCAAGCGAATCTAAATTAGACGTATCCATGACTGGGGCATTTTTACCTTTCATGAAATGAACACATGTTTGCTTTCGTCCCCTTTTACGTTTAATTTTTATTTTCAAGAATAGCCAACGGCTAGTAAGAGACAGAGACACAGGAAGAAGAATTAGTATGTTCGGGTAACTTGTTTTGTTAACTTATTACAGAAATTAAATTTAGAACACCATTTCTTCAATGTATCTTTTAATAACGCATAGGTTTAAAGAAAACAAAACGGTTTAAAACGCGACATACAGTAGTTAAAATTATTTGAAAATTATTTTAACTACGGCCAGATGTTATGGATGCTTTGCAGCAGCCGTGGTAACGGTGAGACTAGACTAGAGTTTAACTAATATATATGGGTTTACCGTTAAAGCTGTTTAATTGTTTAAATGTTAACTACTCGCGGTAACTACAGACAGTATTTAGTACATTTCTTAAATTTGTCCTCTAAAATAAACATCTATGTTACGTTACTTGTTTACACTCGCTCTCGTTTACAATCAATGTCCCCTTAATAATTCTTACTGAACGTTTCACTTTCAACGCGTATACCTCGGCTGTACGTTGAATACGATTTCTCTATACACCATTGTCCAAAGCGACGACGTTCTGCGGATAGAATGCAGTCTGTAAGTCACAAAGACTAGAGCATTTACTTAAGCGTTTTCTATCGTTCACGTGCATGTATAAAGTTGTATAAATTTGAAATGCAGTCGCCCACATGGGCAGTGAACAGGACTTTGGTAATGTCGAGAAATGAAATACGTGCTAAGGTAACAGAAAGTGTGAACTAAATATTGTAATATCGATAAATTGGGTTTTTATTTATAATCTATATGACGATGATGTACATACCTATGTCTATATGACGCTCTAGTTTTTCTGCTACTGACGAAAAAATGACACATCTTTGATGCGTTACGTATACAGTGGCAATTATATTTTTAATTTATTAATAAGTGGATTAACCTGTGTTTCGTATACAAAGAGGAATCTTGGCCAGCTACATGTTGTATGTTTAAGGATGGTAAACAATGAATAAAACAATTCGAAAGGTTTAAAACGTATAATGTATTATTTTTATTGTTAATACGATTAATGCACCAGCCGTGTTCACTAATATATTTCGCGTTTATAAACCGTTAAAAGTATTTTATTCAAAGCATGATACACATTGTTAAAAAATACAGATAGAATATCTTAGTCGTTATTGAGTTGTTTTTTAGTTATGAATATTTCATTTACTAACAAAAGAACGTACATATATATACCGATTCATAAGTACGAAGTGCATGATTCCAATTTTAAATCAGTATTTATCATTAAGAGACACGCGTTTGACCGGAAGTGGCGCACGCGCAGCTGACGGACCCCTTCCGGCGGCCATTATACGCATTGACTAATGAAGCGGTACGATATACTATTGTTTAAACTCTTTTCCTTGATATTCAAAACAAGTTTAATGGGATCATTGACCAACAACAACGGTGTGATTAGCTTATTAACAATTTTTAATTAAATACTGTCTGTAGTTTACGCGAGTAGTACACATTTAAATAAAACACCTTAACGCCAAATAACAACTTCCACGGAACAGATGGCGCTAGCGTAGTAGTTGTTACTTTGACACCTTCCATATTTAGTGCCCCCGTGACGGCTGCCGCAAAGCACCCGAAACGGCCGTAGTTAAAATAATTCAAATAAGTTTAACTAATATATATCGCGTTTTAAACAGTTAAAGTATTTTATTTAAATATTTAATTAATAAAATCAAATCCTGCACACAAACTACAGGACGGCGAGGGTAGATTCAAAATATGGAGGTAGAGCAACAGCACGGAAAGCTGACGATGCCGGTTCAAGTCCTGCCCGAGTCGAAATTTTTTTCAATTTATTTTCGATTTTTAAATAATATGGAGGTATACAAAATATTTTTGATGCCGTACTTAAATGTAAAATAGAAGATTGAAGATTGGAGGAAAGCTTAGACGTTTTACGAAATTGCTGCTAAATTATATTTGGGCCAGCTTGCTTGGAAATTTGCCAGTGTGACCTTGAATTTCGCTTTATATCAAAATAGATATTACAGCATGCTGATAATAACTATGCGATATTATGTCGATATCGCAAAGATTCCAGCCACGCCAGTTCCACTCGTCTATATTGAGTATAGGTTTTCGTTTTCCAAACGTGAGAAATTTGGCAAGCACATTTCTGCAATGATCGTTTCTATTAAATACTGTAAACTGTCATCCGAAACGTCGAACCATAGTTAAATAATTTGTGACTAAGTTTGACTAATACATTTCGAGTTTTAAAGAGTGGTAGAAATATCGTCTAGGTCCACCCAACCATCGGCCACAGATTATTTATATCCCCATTAGTATTTTCAATGTATGTTCTTTTACAAAAACGATATTTTTAGAATTTCAATCACACTTCACAAAAATCAACTTTTGGTTCAGGGCTTGTTTTTACTTATTCTCCAAGATTCGGGTCACTCTAAGTAGTCGCAAATGAAAGAAACCAAACTACCAACTAATTTATTGGGAGACAATTCCTTCTGAATATTCTTCTTCTTCTATTATGAAAAACTAAGAATATAATTCTGCTTCGTACACTACTCATCGCTGTTCGGACAGAATTAACTGTGATGCTTAGTCACGAACTCACGGCCGTGACTTCACTTCAATATGACGAAGTGACCTATTTCTGACCAACCCTGGGTTGAATAGTCATGCCTGTAAGTGACACTAGTTATAAAGAGGACTCAAAATGTATCTATACCAATTTTATAAAGCTGAAGAGCTGGGTTAAACGCGCTTATCTCAGGAACTATTGTTTCGAATTGAGAAATTATTTTTGTGTTAGCTGATCCATATTGAAAGGCTGTGGGTTATAAAACATCGCAGCCTGGATCAGTAGGAGCATGGAAAGAAAGACAATGTGGTTTCCGTTGCGTGTGCTGCGAAAATGGTTCAAGATAACGAAAAAAATATATACCCATATAAAAGGGTTATTTCTCTTTACATAATATTTAAAAATCAGCGACACTACTCAATTTAGTAAAAATACTTCCTATGGCAAAATAACGTTTACCAGATCGGCTAGTTTTTAATTACAAATTAAGTATATAGGTAAAATAAAGAACAACCTATATATCCGATGTTCTTGTGTGTTTGGCTGTTAGCTTAACTTCTTCCACAAGACATATCAGAGAATTACATTTAAAAAGACTAAGTTAAATACTGTCTATAGTTTACGCGAGTAGTACACATTTAAATAAAACACTTTAACGGTTCGTGGTCACGGGGAGACAAAGCTGCTGCAAAGAATCCGAAACGTCGGGCTGAAGTTAAAAATCATTTTCAAATAAGTTTAACCAATACATCGCAATTAAACCGTTTAAGTGTTTTATTTAAAAGACTAAGTTATTTTAATAAAATCCACGCTGATGGTGTAATGACTAATATGTTTTTAAACTGACTGATGGATAGTTTAAACGTAGGTATTCTAGACCTCACACGACCTAAAATAAAGTTTTATCGCTTAATTAATTCGTAACACGTTAGCATACATTACTTCGGTATCTCTTAGGAAGGAAGTCGTCAATATTGGCTTAAGTATACGGAACAATGACAGCAATTCGATAATTTTGCGACTAAGACTAAATAAAAACATATATATAAAGCTGAAAAGTTTGTTTGTTTCAACGCGCTTATCTCAGGAACTACTTTGAATTAAATAATTATTTTATGTTGGTTAATCGAAGAAGGATTAAAGCTATAGAACATCAGGCTGCGACCCTAAGGAAGAAACAGAGGGAAATATGGAGGAATCAAAGAATGACTCCTCTTTAAATGATCTAATGGCAATGATCTGCCAGCGATCAGTACAGACAACTGCAGCTCACGATGTCCTTAAATCCCATTTTTTTTAAATCCTAGTACTACTCGGAACGTTGAAAGTAGTAGTTGTAATCTTTGGTCCCGGGAGAGTACGTTATGCAGTCAGACCACTATCTTTAACTCCGCCAATCCATAGTAGAACTGCCTGGTTTGCTCTAAGAGAGGAGACTTGTGCAACGGTGGGATAAATCTAGTTTGGACTGATAACTATTAAATAGCATAAGGCCATCGCTGATAGAAGCTGAATAATATAAATTTAAGTATATTATAAGCTACGCGGTAGCTCAATGGTTAGAGCCACAGCACGGAATGCTGGTGGTGCCGGTTCAAGTCCTGTCAGTGTCGTAAACTTTATTCAGACTAAAATCTATTTTTAAAGTATAAGTTTGAGAGTCCAACATAGTATGTTACATTACTATGATATAATAGCGTAGTCCAAAAAGAACTTTATTTTAAGAATATTGATTTTATGATGTAATGTTCCGAGGTAAGCGCGGTAATTAAAATTTTGTATGTTTTCATAGCTTTTAGACTTTACCTATCGTATACAATATTTGCTTTGACGTGTGTGTTAGAAATAAATTACTAAAGCTAAATGTACATAGTTATGATGATGGACTGAGTCAAGGGGCCTCTTCGATATTTGGAGACTTCCATCAGGCAATCCATGTTATAAAAATAAATAAGGAGAGAGCGTAAAATTGATAAATATAAAAAAACTACTTACAAAATCATGTCATATTTGAGAGTTCAAGTATGTTTTAGAGATGTTTATAGATATAGTATATTGATAGGTTATATAGAATTTATTATCTATAAAACGAATTTCATAACGAAAAGATATTTGAAAAACCTTTTTATTTGATGTAATTGAATGTGTTGTACTGGGTGGTTTGGTAAATCAAGGTGAATGTTGGCAAATCGGATGTGCAAGTAAACGTAAACAAAATACTTTCATTTCTAATTGCGACAATATCATAGTAATTGGGGAGTTGTTAATGATAATGGTCTTTACATTAACAGAATAATTAATATTACTCTATTCTTGCTTAATTATATCAAAACAGTTTTAAGCAATATTTCTGCTATTCTAACTTTTAAACTCGTAAGTTTACTTCAGCTTGGCTTTCTGTTCAGTCAGATTTTACATTCAGGCGCTATAAGTCACCGCTTTGAAATTATTTGTCAGTACCTAAGATAACTCGAGTTCCTTAGTCAGCTGACACATTTTTATTGAACAATTAATGCAAAGACATTTTGACAGCTATGAGGATTAACTCAGCAATGGAAATACTATATTAGTTACTTTTGTATATCTCCTTACCTTATAGTTAAGACCCTGCACGTCTTCCTCCAGTGAAACATCTGAGTACATGTCGTCAGCTGGTTCACCCCCCGACCCGCAGCCGGATGAGTTGAAGGACGACGACCGGTACAATTGGCTAAAACAATAACAATGTTACATTCCTTCATTTAGGACACCTTACCGCCAATGTACGTAACGACATCTAGCGGTAGTTATAACAACGTGACAACGCCATCTATCAAGCGCCATAGTAAGTACGGCAACTTAGAACAGATGGCGCTGTTAGCAAAAAACTAAATTCAATATATGAAAGGTATTTTTATAATAATACAGTTGTTATTTTTAAAGGATAAAGAGGATTTTTGTAATAAAATAAATGTATGTGTACCTGGCTAAGACATTGGAGCCAATTTGCCGTTTTCCCGAACTGTAACAAAGAAGAAAAATAACTATGGATTATTTCTTTTTTAACTACAATATGTGCTGATTTGCAAGCTTGCGGGCCAGAAAAATATTTTTTTTACCGCAATGTTTACCGTATAATTTTATTCTCAAACTGGACATTGAAACAAAAAACAGGCGAGACTAGTTTACAAAAGGTGTCTAATTGAGAGTTAACGTCCGGTTCATAATTACTTTAGTGCTATTTAGAAAGAAGGAAATGTTTTTACGTCAAACTCGCACTATTTATGTGATCATTTTATTTCCATTCTTGTCTATTATGTTCGTTTGTACGTAATTATTGTTATGTAATTGGTATTAATTGAACTAGCTTTTGGGATTGTAAGTTATACAACGTAGGTTTATGGTAACGATTTTGGACCCTTAATTCATACATTGATCTTCTATCTAGAAATCTAAACCTATTTGTAAAAAATATTCAATTACAATAAATTTGGATGTAGTACTTTGAGTCACTTACAATATATACAAAGAAAAGGAAATTCTGTTTTTGGTATTATTTTTGTATATTATATTTGTTTACGTACTTCGAGGACGTTTGGACAGACAAGCCAACTACTGTAGGCGTAGATACAAAAATTATAAAATTCTTGTAAAATCTCGTTTTTTACGCACATTTATGTATCTGTTTTACTATGAACTAGGATCTTTTGAACGTAACAAAATGCCATTAAAGGTACGGAACTGGCATATCATGCCTTTCCCAGACATGGTTCGATGATCAGTAGATGGAAGTAGGGTTTCATGGGGAGGTGAAATCTCAGCAAATGATAGACAAGTGTTTGTTCGCCGTGAAGTTATTGTGTAAGAAAGCGACGCACTCGGCTATCGCTGATACATAATGTGATAATCATATTGCGATTGTGTACATCATTTTATTGTGAAACTACAGTCGCCCGCAACATATAACATAGTATAAAGAAATTGTTTCCAAGTATTATAGCAGTACTAGCAGTCACTAGAGCCTCCACTTTACAACTGAACATGCGTCGATTATCCAAACATTTTGATCGCCTCCAATAACTTTACAACTGAACAGAATATTGCTCGATCAATAATTCAAACTTCAATACAATCTATATTTGTACTAATGTATAAAACTGAAGAGTTTGTTTGATCGCGTCAATCTTAGGAACCATTGGTTCAAATAGAAAAAATATTTTTGTTAGAACATTTATCGAGGAGGGCTTTAAAACATTGCGCTGTGAGTAATCCGTGAGAAGAAACAGCGGGAAATGTGGGAAAAATGGAGATAATGATTCTTCTTTTTGTGTTTCCGATGGGGCCGCTACTAAAACGGTTTAAAATACACAAAAAATATAAGTAGAGGGTTGTCCATTAATCACGTGATCTTTTTTTTTTAATTTTTTAACCCCCCTCTCCATTGGTGAGACGTAGTGAGCTTTAAGACAACCCCCCCTCCCCCTTCTAAACATCACGTGTATTTTTAGTACCTACAAAGAATCTTAAAATTTTCTGAATATTATCTTAATTTAAATACAGGTATAGACTATAATCTTATTTTATTCTGAAATTAAAGACCATAATAAAAATGTCTACAGTCTACACCATTTGTTAAATTAAATTTAATTTAATCGCGCGTTTGACGAACGAAAAATTGAAATTGAAAACAAAAAATAAATACACGCGATATCTTACTAAACCCCCCCCCCTCTTGTGTTATTTTCGTGATTTTCACCCCCCCCCCCTTCAAGCCTCACGTGATTAATGGACGACCCACAAATGATTGATGACCTAAATAACTATTCTACGCGGACGAAGTCGCTGACACAGCTAGTAGGTATACATGTAATACTCAAGATATTTAACTAATAACTTATTTCTTGTGAAGTAGATTATATTATAAAGAAGGTATCGTAGTGTTTCATAGGGCAACGACACAAAGAGTAATGACGAGTTGTATTTAAATGTTGATCGTGTCGTGTCCAAATTGGTATTCAGCAAGGATGAGTAGGTATTTCTATAATGGAATATTTCATTCGATGAATCAATGCAATACACTAACTTGTGTGTAGAAATTAAAATGTACACTTGTTATTTGGATCTAGATGATCATTATAATTAAGATTGCATTCACAACGATTAAAATTAGGTAATAACTTTTCCCTTGACTACTGCGTGGAGTCACTTCTAAAGACACTTATTTTGGATAAATATTGTAATTAAATAAATCTATACATTTTATCTGTACAGTAAAACTCTTAAATTGAAACTGAACAACTTTTAAATTAAACACTTTAACGGTTTAAAACGCGATATAAATGTGTACGACATCCGTAAACTACTGAAAATGAATACGTGAAAATCCATTAATAGATAATCGTTGTTTTTTTACGCAGTTTTACGTATTATAATTATTATCAATATAAAATAATGGAACTGGCAATTAAAAAAATATATATATTTTTATTCACAGTATAGATTATCAAATCCCTCACATCGGACTACTTTCAATGAAGCTTCGAAAATGATTCTCATTAACATACATTCTCTTGTGTGAATTAAATAATTAGAGCGTAAATTATAATGGTCTGTTATCGCATTAAATCCAGTGAGTGGGGTAAGGTGTTATTATGAGCGAATGAAAAATTTGAAGCATATAACGAATTAAGTATATTAATACAAATTTTAAAATGATAACAGTGACTATTAAAACAAGAATTCTAATGAAAAACACGTGTTAGAAGATTCTTCGATAAAAGTGGGTAGGTGAATAAAATCGATTATTCAATTGTTATGTAGCCACTGGTAATACGGTAATTATATTTAATAGCAGTGATAGCATAATAAAAGCCAGTAATTACAACCTGTAAGGCCGCTTTCTGTAATGCATGTGTAGACCTTTTCGCTCCAGCTTTGATAAGTTAATCTTCGAGTTACGAATTGTCAATTCCACGTGGTGGAATTGAATTCACTTCACGAACATTGTTTATGAAATTTTCATTCACGAAAACACATAAAGCTATAAATCGCGAGAACGCACCAAGCGGACGGTAGGCGCGAGAGGCCCTGTCCATTTGCCACTGAACGTCTGACTAGCGCATCAACAATGGAATTGTGGTAATGATGTAGCCGTGAACATGACACAACAATATAAGGTATGTAATCACATTATTTATCCATTTATCGACTTTTACTATCTGTATGATTTTTTTCGTGCCTTTCCTTTGTTGGCTTCGAGAGCGATCAATTTGATTCTTTAAATAGGTACTCTGTACAACTTTTTTTAAGACAGAAGAGCATGGGTGAGCAACTTCTAAACAAAATGTGCTGTCGACCAATTTTGGCTTAGAATATTCTAACTAGGTTTGCACTGAAAATAGAACAGCTATCGACGGTTTTATATTCCATACAAAATCTTCAAATTCAGTATTCTTTATTTCTCGAAATAACTAAATTTAAAAGGTTTCCCATGATTGTATGAGCAAGCAAGACTATAAATTATTATGAATATAGCATACCGTATATTATTGTGCCATGTCGTAAGCATGAATTATCCACAATAGCAGTGAAACACACCGTTATTAAGTTTTATTATTAAGTTGTTCGCCGGACGTAGGCAAGCCACGTCCTCGAATAACCTAACATCGATCACCAATATTGAGGATACAACATAATAAACATCGACCACATTCCTCGCTTGGTGTCTTCTGAAATGTTTATAAATATTGTTCTCATATTTGTCAATCGATATATTGTAATTTGTAAGGCTAGCGATCCATTCTGCGAGTTTAATTATTAAATTACAAAATTATTAATTAACAAACTTCGAATTGTAACTACGTTGTAATTTTATATTTTTTTTACTTAATTGCTATTAAAGAATTAATTAAATATTCGTCATTCATTTAAGAACAAAGTAAATATTCGTATATTACGTTTATGTTTAATTTTACCATCAGCATTGGGCAGCCTACTTTTTTTATATAACCCTGAATCTCAAACTACCCATCGTCGTTATAATTACGAGACTACCTACGTCTATATTGTAAATATCAAAATATTTGTCGACAATGGGCATATCACTAAAAATAAAATCGACCGATCGGTCACACGCAGTTCGCAAATATGTTTTTTTGTTATAACAGACGGATAGAGTTTACTTATTTGCTATCTGTCGGTAGATATATAGCCTATCTTGGAATGGAACAAAACATTTATCTATGCAGCTTGTTTTGTCTTTTTAGTAAAGTTGACAGATTTTTTTTCATTTTAACTACAAAGATTTTTATTTTCACTTGCGTGTGGCCCCGCTGTCCACACTCTTAAGGCTTACTGAAAATCAGTTTCAGGTCTACAAAGTCGTCCTTTCATATAAGCTGAGTAAGATCATTGTATTAACTAGCAGATTTTTTTTTGTTTTTATATAATATTATTTAATAATAAATATTAAATACTTATTTTTTTATTTAGTAATAAATCTTATATGTTCTCTTTTTTCTTTCTTATTGGTGATAAAATGCACGAGCGCTGTTGTCTAATTTACACTCTCGACCTATATTAGCTTTTAACGTTCGGTGGAAGAATGGTGAAAGGCCATTCAAAACGGGACAATGTTTCGTAAATTAGAAAAAGTAACTCTGTCATCGTTATTATATTAACCGGAAACAACGTACGAGCGCGTTGCTTGCGTAATTTCATGCACTTTTTTATGTAGCGCAGTCGAACATCATTGTACGATCTCTGGTTTGTACACGTTTTATGAAACATTTAATGTACAATCCTTGTTACACAGTGTAGGAGTGTAATTAGTAATTATGTGGCAATTTTTAAAGCTTTGTAGTGTCTTGGCTCAATCATAAATTCATAACGTTTTGGTTTTGATTCCCTGGAGTTGTCAATAAATTGTGAAAAGATAAAATGTTTGTCAAAGACTACCTAGACTCGAATAAAATAAACATGTTTTTATGACAGAGAAAGACAAAGCATAGGGTTGATACACTCGATGGTAGGTGAAATAACACAAGAAGAATATCTAAACAAGATGCGACCTATTTCGGTTTTGGATATTCGGAAATTCACAGACTGAAACCGAAACCCGATTAAACTTTTTAATTAAAACACTTTAACGGTTTAAAACGCGATATATTAGTTAAAATCATTTTGAAAGAAGTTTAACTGATATATCGCGTTTTAAACCGTTAAAGAGTTTTATTGAAATGTGTACTACTCGCATAAACTATAGACAGTATCCGATTAAACTTGTCAGCTTTTTGTCTGTGGATGATGGTACGTGACCCGGACGGAATTTCTATATTCCTACCAGCTATTTCGTATCCTGATTAACAAACGAAGTCCAACATAATTAAAAAAAAAATTGATTAGTAACACATTGGATCCTGTGGGGATCAAACCCATCCTTTAATTATTAGCTATACATGAAAACGAATATAAAGAAACATTATTTATATGTAAGACAAAAATATGTAAAATAAAGTTATCTATGCCACAAGACTGGCAGTCGAAAGTCTAAAATTTTGATTTAGTTGCTAAATACTAACATAAAGTAATTTTATTTATGGAAAAAAGTTAAAAATCGTAATAACTATAATCTGTGAATAAAATTTGGGCATTAACTTTCACCGAAAAAAGCGTCAAATTATGTAAAACTCCGTTACATCAAAGAGCAATTAACACAAATGAACACAAAGCCTATTGTATATGACAAATTAGTTCTGGTTTTGTCACAATGCAACGTTTATGACTGTTAGATAATTTTTAGTAACTAGTTTGTGAACGTCACATGTTTAGAACAGTTGAGATTATAATCAAAAATAACCAGATATCTATTATACTAAATCTTTACTTATATTTTAAAACTGATGAGTTTGTTTAAATATTATCGCTTTCGCTAGAAGAAAGGCTTTTGAATATATGTATAATCGTACAGCACATTGTATATACCTGGCAAAAACCGTTTTTTTTGTTTAATGCAAATTAATGCATCATTACTAATTATATGTTAGAGTTGTATCAACAATAATACTAATCTTGCAAAGAACGAAAGAAGGTTTGTTGGATGAGCTAGTTCTATATAATTTGCCTTATCTGTGATAGGGTTGAGTCAATTGTTCTTCTTTTTTATTTCAGTATAAAAAATATTACTTACTGTCTCATGGAGCCCCATCGACGATTAGGGAGATTTTCTTGATGGCTAAAATGAAATAAACAAAAATATGTATAAAAAGCAAAAAAAAAATATGGCTTGGTTAAAAAATAGCTGAAGGTGGGAAGGTATTATAAAAATAACATATACGTGTCTATACTTTAAAGCGTGCGTGGATAAAAAAAGAAAAAAAATTTATGTACAATCATATACTTAGCTAATAAATAGAATTTAAAAAAATTAAGTGGTCTTGTAACATACGCTATTTAGAGGGTTAGCTTACCTGGGGGGTGTCCGTCGTAAGCTAGTCCTTGTCCAGGAATGTCGATTCAGTGGATTTCCAGGACTCCGAGATCCATTTTCTACTCTGTAAAACGCATAACGATTAAATTGTCTATAACGCCCTCTAGTGCTAACAGTGCAAATTAAGTGATGGTTTCCTAACGAAATCTTTGTATTGAAACGAATTGGAATAGTAAATGTTGATTTAGTTAAAATATGTCAAACACATTATTTTTTTTTATATTATTTATTCAATTGTGAGCTAAACTGTATGATAGTGTTTATATTAATAAACAAAATGTTAAGTTGCGTATTTCTAACTAAGACGAAGTTTTTGACGAGACGAGATATGTCAGTAATCCAGATCTATATATATTCTATTGAGTTCTTGATATTAAAAGTCTATGTCATTAAAATATAACTGTCTTGACACAATTATTCATATAGGGAAAGCTTTTTGAGTAACCAGACATAGGTTATTTTTTAACAGAATTTTAATTTAGAAACAGTTACTTTCACACACAAAAACAACTTAATAGGTAAATTGTCTATACTTTGAGTTTAAACCATCGGACTTTAAACCAGAGGTTTATCGGTTTAGAAACAAAAAAATCTCTTTTAGTCAGGCTATCTAATTTAGTACACAAAAAATTGTCAGAAAATGACTAACGTATTGTTAGACGCGTCGCCGTCAGCCTCGCCGTAACACTCGAAGTTTTCAGCGTCCGATATTGAATTGCCAGGACTCGAGTCAGCTGTATTCTCCGCTTGGTTGCTCCCAGTTCCGTTCTGAAATTCATGAATAACAATTAGTTTTGCTTGAACGAGTGTTGTCCGATTTCTTATTCATATTTCAGTGCGTTTTCTGAGAGAAACATTAACCTCTATCGAGAATTAGATTCGTACGAGCTATCGTGTTAAGTTTAATAACAAACTATGGTTTGTGTTATCTTATGCATATTATATACGCAAAAGCAAATGAGATTTAAATACTGTTTGTAGTTTGTGCGAATAGTACACATTTTAATAAACACTGCTATGCTTGTTTATACTTTAACATTAGAGACACCCTCCATCTTTAGTCTCCCCGTGACCGCGGCTGTTGCATAGCGAAACGTCGGGCCGTAGTCAAAATAATTTGTAGATAAGTTTAACTAATTGAATGAAACCGTTGATTATTAGTCATACATTTAAATAAAACACTTTAACGGATTAAAACGTGATATATTCATTAAACTTATTTGAAAATGATTTTTAACTTCGGCCCGACGTTTCGGATGCTTTGCAGCCGCCGTGGTCACGGGGAGACTCGTGCCCGACCCGAAACGTCGGGCCGAAGTTAAAAATCATTTTCAAATAAGTTTAACTAATATATGGCGTTTTAAACCGTTAAAGTGTTTTATTTAAATGTGTACTACTCGCGTAAACTATAGACAGTATTTAGTCACACTACTACCATTACGCCTGTCAGAAATTTTATTATTTTGCTTCTTTAACATTGGTTCTTACAAATGCAACTACAATAATACGTAGGTAATTAGTCTTATGTATTAATGTGGCCACAGACTCTAAAAGCTTCTTAATCTACGGATTTAAAACACAGAAAATTAGGCTTTATAAACGAACCATGAGTAGAGTTACGATTACAAAGTCAGTAACACATAACGTGTTTTCAAATAGTGATGTGAAAATACGGACCTGTAGTTTTCGTGGTAAATTCCCTGGAGAAGATCTAGGTGATTTGGTTCTCTGAAATACACTAGGCGCCATCATCACAGCCGCCGACACCTTGGATTCTGAAATTGTCAGAGACATTATTGATTAAATTAAAAATTAATTTTGATTGACGAAAAATTTACGACACGGGCAGGATTGCGTTTTCCGATTTAAAAACACTCCAAAGTTGTACTTACATATTTAATCAACCTAAAATTGTTTTATTTAATGTGCACTTTAAATTTGTCTTGGATCTCTGTAGCTAAAGTGTTCGAATCCCGGGGAAACAGTAGATTGTTGGCAGGGCACAGAATTTTGATAAATACTGGCCTGCAAGTAAAACCGATCGGTGTAACGGACACAGAAATGTGTTCGACCCATGCACCAAGGGAAACGGGATTTCACAAACTAGCACCTTAAATTTACCGAGTCTTATGAAGTTGTTGATATCTGGTTGGTTAATACCAACCAGATATCAACAACTTGCGAACCAACTTAATAGTTGGTTGTTCAAATCATTAAATACTATCTGTAGTTTAAGCGAGTAGTACATATTTAAATAAAACGCTTAAACGGTTTAAAACGCGATATATTTCAGGTAAACTTGTTTGAAAATGATTTTTAACGGGGAGACTCCGTCTCCGTCAAAGCCTCCCCGTGATCACGGCTGCGGTAAAGCATCCGAAACGTCGGGCCGTAGTTAAAATAAATTTCGAACAAGTTTAACTTAAATATATTGCGTTTTAAACCGTCAAAGTGTTTTATTTAAATACTCAAATCATTGTTTGAAAAACTAATCAGTTTGGTACCAATTTCGCATAGTCTAAATTTCTGGAAGTATTTTGAGATAACATACACATGTTATCTTCATTATCTTGTGTACTGTCGCGATTCTAATTAAATAAAGCGAGTACAACGCGCTCGTTTTTAAATGCATTCTTGACATCAATGTTCTTTTTATGGGCGTAACATAAAAGAGAAATATAATTTCACTCTTTGTCTTTCAAGATATGCTCTAATACTTCATCTTTAATTTGGAGCATTTTTAAAACTGTGTTAATATTATGTACTTTGTTTTTAGTACACACGTAAAGTACACTGCGTTTTAATACCGTCAATTAAAATATATACATGTGTTTGTAACGGTAACACTTTGAACGTTTTAAAACTCGGAATGTATTAATTAGTTATTTATAAATTATTTAAATAACGGCCTGGATGCTTTGCAGCCAGTGCAGCCGTGGCCATGGAGGGGACTAATCATGGAGAGTGTAATGTCAAAGTAAAAACTGCTACGCTAGCGCCATCAATAATTTATTTCGCGTTTTAAACCGTTAAAAGTGTTTTATATAAACGTGCACTACTCGTGAAAACTACAGACAGTACTAGTATCTCAGTTTATCACTTATCATATCACAAATTCGAGTCAAAAATAGGTCAGTAAGCGTCGTGTCGTGATTACAAAAATTCTCACAGGTTACTGTTACATTTATAGTTAAATTACCCTATTTTTTTTATAAATTTATATTATGAATGAAAAAGTAGAATACAATATTTTTATACAAGAATATATTTTAAATAAAACTTATCTCGTTAATAATTTTATATATTATCTTTATCTAATTCTTTGGAGTGTAGTTATAAAATGCTGTCTTTTCGGTGGGGTTATTAAAACCTCATGGTGATCAGTCTCCCAACAAAAACAAGTTAGCTTTATTCCCCGGGATTCATCCACAGGACGTGAAACCTTGAACACAGAACCGGGCATATAATAAGCTACAAATGCGTATAAAACATAATTGAATCTAACCATAGATTAAACGGTTGAGTAGTCTATAGCAGAGTAGAATCAACCTGGCGAGAAGCTCTAATCCTTTCCACCAGCTCTCAAGGAAACCACAGGCTACCAAAGTGTTCTCGCGTAAGATCACTACTTCTGACATCGACGTCAACATTTAGATAGTAATGAAGTGCATTTAATCTACATTATCAGGTATGACCTTTGAAAGGTGACGAGATTAAGATACGCAATGTCTTTGAATTAGGTTTTGATCAAAATAAAATGCGAATTATAACTCAAGTTGTCAAAATTTTGCACAGTCGCATTAGCAAATGCGACTTGTATGTTGTTCTATATGTGAAATCGCGTGTACTCTTGTGTGGAAAACTTAATAATAATTTAATATATTTAAAAAAATGGCAGTTTTAAATTTAACACGTATGAACAAATATTTAATGGTGAATATTTGTTTCTTCTTATTCTATGTTTATTTTTTAACTGTGCTTTAAATAGCACATGTAAATTGTCAAACTTTTGTACTATAAATAGGTTTGACAATTTACAATATCACGTGATGTAATTTCTCGTGTACGTTTGTCAAATCGATTATTATTGCTATATATGTTTACGTATGAATGAAACACAGGAAACAATTACTTTATTCGAATATTTTAAAAATCATTTGATAATAAATCTGTATATTATCACTGTATTTTAGAGCTGAGAGAATACATATTATCGTGATAAATTCAACACTCTTTTTTGTTTCGCTGTCATAGCTTCAATATCATATAGTCGAATGCGCCTAAAACGATTTAATCTATAATAATATTATAAAGCTAAAAAGTTTTGTTTGTTTGAACTCGCTAATCTCAGGAACTACTGGTTCGATTTTAATAATTCTTTTTGTTTTGTGTGGACCATTTACCGAGTTAAGAAACAGAGGCAAATGTGGAAAAATCGGAAAATTTTATTTAGCTTTGAGGGCTTCCGTTGCGTGCCCTACGAAAACAGTTACGAATACAGAAACAAACGAATCTGTATGAAAGAACAATTTTTTTTAAAACGATACTAAAAAACAGTTGTTGTCTATTTTTTAAAGATAATGATAAGATGCGAAAAGTACGAGACGCGGACGATATCGTTGGTAGCAGCAAGTAAATAAAAATCTTAACCCACTTGTAGGTAATGAATTCAGTACATCGCATGTATTATACATTGCTCGTCAAGCAAATCGACATAGATGTAAAAACAATGGAACAAAAAAGGAGAATTGCAATCGGCTCCGCAGACCGTACCAGTCACACCTTTGCTTCAAGACCCGATAACACCATTTCCTTATCGACATGCTCGTTGTAAATTGTTATTGAGCGCCCGACGTGAAAAATATAGAATTAAGTTTATAAAAAGTACGACGTACTACGTATAGAGATTCTAAATTAGAATCTTAGAGCAACAGTATTAGATCCAATAATTGTCTGTAAATAATCTAACCGGCTCGTTGGCCTCTCCCCCAATAATGAAATCCCCATCTGGTTCAATATGTTTCTAATAAATATATAATTTCCTATTTTTATTATTTTATTTCATTTTTTTTTCCTATATATTATATCATTATTTCATTACAAACAACAAAACGTTCACCGGAGCGGCTAGGCAATGTATGTCTAATTTTGTGTTTATTTTTTTCTCCAAAAGTTGAGGTTTTACTATTTATGTTAATTAATGTTACAGTATTTTGTATAACAATATAAGTCGTCAAGGTCCATCGCGTTTCGGTTTTTATTTTTTATTTGGAAATATCCAAAGCCAAAATAGGTCGACATAGTTTAGATGTTATATGGTTGGGGTATTTAAATAAAACACTTTAACGGTTTAAAACGCGATATATTAGTTAAACTTATTTGAAAATGATTTTTAACTTCGGCCCGACGTTTCGGATGCTTTGCAGCAGCCGTGGTCACGGGGAGACTGATATAGACTAATATATCGCGTTTTAAACCGTTAAAGTGTTTTATTTAAATGGTTGGGGTATTTCACCTTCCGTCAAGTAAACTCATGCTCGTCAGTCCTACCCAACAAAGACATAGATTTGCGAAACGGACATACAAATGTGCTCGCCCCGTGCACCGCTTAGATTAGATTATAGGTCTTAATTGTCTTCGCAGCTGTAATTATGTACTGTAAATGTTAGTATCAATATAGTTTTATTATAGACTTAAGGCTGTACGACTAAGTGATCGATTTACAAATAGTGCAACGCGGCATCACGCTCTCTGCACAAATATCTCAAGAAAGGTGCACCAAGTTGCACTATTAGGTTTCGCCATGGTTAGTTAGTTAGTTAATTTAGCTTTTTCGACTGCCCATACTTTTAGTACATAAAAACTTATTGGTTGTTGTACTTACACCAATAAATTATTATTACAAAAAGTTTGTTTTGCATTAAGGAAAAAATGTCTAAGTCTGCTGCCGTTTCAGACACATATTTATGTCCGTTTCAACAATTATTAAACAACTATCTATCGAGGTATCAATTTACAGCCATTTTATAACTTATCCGCGGAAATGCAAAGATTTAGTTCTAAGAAATATTACGTTAAAAATAACTAAGTATATATGTAAAATGGCGCTCACATCTGATTGCGAAAATTCTAGTTTCCTTTTTGCGCAAATTGTTCTATTGAAGGATAGACAAATCGTTAACATGTTAATTTCTTTATGCAAGTAATTTATTTAGTAGTTAACGCAACGTAGGGTATCGTACCAATTCTGTAGTAATGGCTGAATTTTTTGACTTGCCGTTGCAAGAAAGACCATTTTGTTAAAGCGACTGTAAATCTTACAGTTTACTAATCTATTGCCTTATATTATAATAGGCTATTTGAAACTGTGCTAAGAAAGAAACCGTAACTAATGCACTATAATATGTTGTTGTTTATTTTTTTCTTGGTCATTTGGCGGTAAATCATATGTATGCATATTGTAAATAAACAACAAATACATTTGACAATCCTTACTAATATTATAAATGCGAAAGTAACTATGTCTGTCTGTTACTCTTTCACGCCAAAACTACTAAACAGATTTGAATGAAATTTGGTATACAGACGGTCTAGACGCGTTTTTATTGCGAAAAGGGGGTTGATATGGGTTGAAAGTTTATATAGAAATTCGTGGTTTTTGAAGCTAGAACAATGAAACTTTCTTCTTTGGCTTTTTGGGAATAGGAATGAAAGTGGGAGTTAGAGTAGGAGTGATGTGAGGTGAGAGTGATGCGGCAAAGTTGCAGTTACAACATAGATTTCGTGCCTTAAATGCGCCCATACATAAATTAATAAACAGCCTAAATAATTAAAAATTCTACCCCAAGTCACTAACCCGCGCGGACGAAGTCGGGAGCACAGCTAGTTGACAATATATGACACAAAATTAAGGAAACAGTGTTTAAAGTGATAACGAAATAAGGATTACTTTTCCGATATGGTCTTTCTCATTTAATGGTTTTCATTAATTTGATAGCATCATAACAGCTTCTTGTTGATAACTCTTAGATATTATGTTGTAAGCAAGCAAATTTAATTTAATTTCTCAAAGCAAAAAGTTAATAACATCGCGGAATGTTGTCTACCATGGCGTTAGCTCAAACCGGTAGCTAGCTTTATCTGCATTCCAGCTAGGTTGCGAATTTTCCTACTTTCTTTCCGTTATTTCTCGTCTATATCGTTTGATCCATCTTACCCGACAAAAACATTACATTATTGCTTAATCTCGTCAGGTTTCACATAATTACACAAGCACTTCAAGATCCTGATTTAAATTAAAGTAAAAAATCTGTTCATGGCTTTAATGACTAAACTTAAGATTAGGTTTTTTTTTGTTTAAAACTCGTTTATATTAGGGCTATAGACCGGCTAGTCCGGATGACCGGCACAAACTGACAGCCCTACAGCAATGCTCTACACTTATGCAATAACTAATATTACGGTATTATCGATAAAAACTAGTTATTTCACAGTGACTAGCAAATAACGGAAAGAGTCTGCGCTAGTTATTTAATAACTGTTATTAAAGCGAAGGAATAACATTATACTACTCTTAATTAAAATTAATTATTTTCATTTACTCTTTAGAGAAGACTAGAGGAAATTTTAATAGACCATACTTGACATATAACTCTTTACACTAACAAATCTTCTTCTCAGTCGTGCACTCAAATTAGAGTGGTCGAGGTTACAGTTACAAATACAAATGATTTATTTTTTTATTTTGACAATTAAGGTTTTACTTTATGTGTTAAATTAGGCCTACTTTAAATACATGTACACACACATACAGTTTTTCTATCTACTTGTATTTTTCTGAAGAAAGTGAAGTGATATACGAAAGCAATACGTCGGAGAAATTAAATTTGGTCAACCAGAAAATTGGTTGGCACTAACGTACATTCTTGCGAAAGTAATCGATAGCCACAGCTAATAAAATGTCGGTATTTTAATATAACAAATATTCACTATATTTCGCGCAGAAGTATTCCTTAACGATATTACAAATATCATTAACTAGAAGTTTCTAGTCACATTCATTACGTTTGGGTTTGAATAGGATCTTTAGTCATAAAACATGTAAAATAATATAAATGAAATACGTTTGCCCCATGTCCAACCTAGAAGAAAAGTATTTAACTTGTATATCTCATTCTAAGTTATAACTTAATGCCCCACTCGGTCGTCAGAATCGGAAGAATTCATAGAACAAACATAGTAGTTTGATCTAGGAAAGACTGTTAGAATTAACATAGCTCATATCGAAAACTCGCTAAAATAGAGACGCATGAACAACTTTGTAAGAGGCCTACACCTACTGGGTTCATTATAAAAAATAATATAGTTATTTATCTTTCAAATAATCTCGTACATAACACCTAATTACAAACATTAATATCATTTTAAAATATCACATAAGTGTACATAATAGTTTTTTAGGGAAATAAAGGCTTTTTTATTTTATTTTATTGTGCCACTCGCGGGCACAGGCCTTCTATCTCAAAGAAGGTAAGAAGTTGAACTTACCACGTTGGGAAAGGTTACCGCCATTAAATTAGTGATAAAAACCGGGACACAAGGTTTAACGTACTCTCGGAGGTACACCTCGGTAAATTTCGCCTTCCGAGCTTTTATTATTCCCAATGCTACTAGTATTGGAAATTATAAAAGCTTCGAAAAATTCGAATCCTGGACAGCAGCCGCCTGCAGCCGAATGTAACCACTAGACCAACGAGATAGTCTAGAATAAAATGAAGAAAGTAAAAATGACAAAAGCAAAGTTTCATCGGATCGATTGCAATGTGAGCGCTAGTGTCAATGACCTCGATTGCATAATGCTAAATGCTGATGCTGTGGGAAATAGTCTGTATTTCATGTATTCTAATTGTATTAGGCTTACCTTGTTTATAATCTGTGGTAAATGTTGCACGTTGTACGGTGGTTATGGGATCTGGAAGAAGGAAAAAATTGTAAAAACAGACTGAAACAAAAGTCATAGACTAAAAATCATTTATTTACAAGAAAATTCGACATTTAAAAACATATACCGTACTCTTTACAGAAATTCAATTAAGTGGCAAGTTATCATCTGTTGATACTGTGATACTGGCATTTGCCAGTTATCTCATCTTATATCATCTTACCACAAATTGAAAAAAGTTATCATGTGTATAGACAATGCTGTTCCTTCGACCAGAGTGCATACAATGTAAAAAAAAACGTATTATAGAAAAAAACACATACCTACATACGCTTGTTGTTTAAATATACAAAAAAAGAGTAAAATTACAAATTACTATTGCGTTAACTATTTAATATTGTCTCTACAGAAAAACTATCTCGTGAATAATGTTTGCCTTTTTCATATTAAAGTTTCGTCTATTCTAGTTTCGTCGCTGTTCTAAGCAAACGATTTCACTAAAGTCACGAATATCGGTCCATTAGTTTTATCAAATTTGAGTCGTGCGCTTTACATCACTTTTGTTCGCTGTTTTCGTGAGAAGTCCGTTTATTTTTATACAGTTCATTTAAATTATATTATATTTTAAATTGTATCGGATGGAAATAATTGAAATTTAGATTAGAATAGCCTCCATTTAACAAACAGTTATCTATACCAATATATAAAGTTGTAGTTTGTTGGTTTGAAAGCGCTAATCTCAGGAACTACTAGTTCGAATAGAAATATAATCTCAAATTGTATATAGAACATTTATCTAGAAAAGCTTTAAAGTTTATTCTATATAACTTTTTTACTTGTTAACGTTGCGTCAAAAACAATTTAAAAATAGCCGCGAAAGTATACCTATGTCTATCTTTTAAAATTAACAGCCAAGAACGAGTTTTATGGTAATATTGTATTATGTTTAAAAACTTTATTATTTTTTACTTGTTATTGCACATGTAGGCACTATATAATTTAGATCTCGAAAATAAATTGACAAAATTTTCGACTCGGGCAGGACTTGAACAGGCATCATCAGCGATCCGTGCTGTTGCTTTGCCACTCGGTAGCTCAATTGGTAGAGCAACAGCACGGAACGCTGACGATGATTTAAAAAAAAAAATTGTATAAGAAATTTAAGAATTATTAGTCATTACTAATGATTTGTTAGAGTTGTATCGAATAATATTAATCCAGCAAACAACAAAACGTTTGCCGAATCAGATAGTCTTAGACAAAAAACAAAAAGGAGTTAGGTAGATAAAAGATTTCCTTTTCAACTGCCTGGTAATGGATCTACCTAGTAACCACTAGTATGACACTTCAGTTACTAACAAGGTATCTAGTGACAGCGTTGCACAAGTGGTAAAAACAAAGCGTATAGAATTTCAATTCATCAAAGCTGTATTCCAGTAGCCTAAGGTCTCCTAAAAGCGCGCTATATCGCAACATATAACACCACTATTATAAAACAGATTTTATACACTGCTTTGGAATGTACCGTTCTGGGAATATTCCAAAAGATACAAAATTATCGAGGTTAAAAATCGATGATAAATTTACGACACGAGCCGAACTTGAACTGGCATCACATCGTTCCGTGCTGTTGCTCTAACCAATTGAAGTACCGAGTCCTACACGTCATCGTCGATTTTTTTCCACCATAAATGCACCTTCGCCCAATGTAATTTCAACATTAATACGCAAGTGTTGTTGGAGAGAATCGATTTTTAATGTATGTAGTACTATCATGTGCAATAACATGTAAAAAATATTAAAGTTTTCAAACTATCCAGATTCTTTATTGGATGGCTATGAATTTAGTTCACTCTAGTACCGATTTATATCATTCCAGTTGTCATCTAGCGCTAGGATTCGATTGCTGGTGTAGAATAATGTCACATGGCTTTAAACGTCGTCTTGACAAGTGCGTCGTTTGCAAAAAATGGCTATTTGTATACAACGAATTGACCACCATTGGTGGTTTGAGATTAGGAATTTTAATATTCCCAAACCTATCACCATTTTATATTCAGATTTCCAAGTCCAATATCTTTCAGAAATTGGTTCGGCCTGGTGGTAAAGCCCCTTAATATTACTATCGCGACGTCGTAACGTGTTACACGCAACTTCCAGCGTTATAGGAAACCACGACCTAAGAAAATAAGTGTATGGAGTACCGATGTACAGTTTCACGCTTCAAGAGACATTTTCCCTCTACGAACATTCGCTCTGATTCGCTGGACTGAGCGAAGTTCCTTCTCATTCTTAGTTTCATTGTTTTAACTGTCTTTTCTAGTGACTATCGGATAGTATACTACAAAGCACGAGGTCTAGTCGGGTAAAAGTTTGGTTTTCGGAATTAAAAAAAAATCTTTTCCGTACCTATCTACCCACAAAGTATATTTCTCAAACTATATATTAAAAAGCATTTAACTTTATATATGTGTAGGTATTACATATACCAACATAAGTAGTGGGAAGTATTAGTCATCGATCCGCGATTAACAGTCATATGACCTCAGACGACTGACAATAGTCTTAGCGGACACGAATTGGCCACGAAGCCTATATCAAAGGCTAAATCCATTTACAGCTTTACGATGTTCATATATAATTAAACCTATGTATTGATCCTATTTGTTTTTACTTCTTCTGGTAAATTCAGGAAAATATCAAGTAATATAAGAAAAAAAGATGTAAATGGTTAGGAAATATAATTATGACTACATGAAAAGGCTATAATGATATTAAAATATGTATATTTTTTTAAATAAAACTCTTAGAACGGTTTAAGAAGCGGCTTACATTGTTTAATTTATATTAATTATGACCCGACGTTGCGCATGCTTTGCAGTAGCCGTGGTCACTGGGGGGCTGAAAATGGGGGGTGTATCAAAGACAAATCCGCTACTCGTCGTAGTTGATAGTAATTTTACTGTAAATAACGTATACTATATTAGTTAATTTCGTTCAACCGTGACCACTGCTGCTATAAAGAATCGGAAACGTTGGGTTGTAGTAAAAAATAAATAAACATTAGCGTTTAAAACCGTTCAATTTATTTTATTTAATGAATTCTTGCATAGACTACAAGCTACTTAATATAAACTAGATTTACTATTGTTCGACTCTTCAACAAGTTATAACGCAATTATGTCACAACCCGAGTTAGCTGGATAGCATTATTGCATTTGTTGATCTACAAATTGGTTCCAAGTTGACGCCGATTAATAAGGCGATGATTCATTCTGTATAGCAATCTGTATCTAAATATAGCAACATTAGCAGAGTTTAAAGTCTTAAAAGATTAGAAAATTACTAATCTGAAATTTAAAAATTTTATTTGTTTCCACGTTCTAATCTTAGGACCTATTGATTGGAATTAAAAAAGGTTTTTTGGTATGGAAAGAACTTGGCTATAAAACATCACACTGCGACCGAATAGAAAAGAAGAAACAGTAGAAATAATTGAAAAAAAATCATCTTTAAGGGTTTCCGTTACGATATGCAAACAATATTATTCTTCAAATATTCTAATCATTTAGGATAACCTCACAAAAACCCTTAATGCGGTAATAAAATTTTGGTCAAAATACTTCATAATATGTAAAATAACCTCTGCCAGGTTTGCTAGTATCGCAATATTATGATAATCATATAATATCAATTAATAGAAATTACATGTATGTTTAATACTATAAAAAAGGATTTCGTTGAAGGGAACTATGTAATAGTTTAGTTAGACAATAGCAGATGGCGCTATAATCAAGAATTACGAGTTTGCAGTGAGAAAAATAAACATTATAATTATTAGATACTATATTTGTTTGTATAAATGCAAACAGAGGTCTGGAATTAAAGCGCAAATAGACGTCAGCCGTAACGGATGTCATATATGTACTTAAACAAGAGAGTGACAAAAATAAAACATTGTAAATTTAAATGTTCGTGTTTATCTCAAAATATATTCCGGATATTACTAGAACAAACGGGGAAAAGACGCGCTAATTTTATATTTTGTAATAAGCATTACTGATGCTGTGGAGTGTAGACAATACTTGTAAATGTAACTAAATTGATTCACCTTTTACCTGTAAATGTATTTTAAAAGCCTAACTCAAAGAGTATTTTCTCCGTATCAACGGCATGTTTCGGCTATCAGATTCATAACTATAATATACACTTAAACCACAAACTATTACTGGCCCACCCGAAGCATTGTTGTTTTTCCTTGGAAGTCCATCCGTGTCTACTTTTGGCACTCGTCCAGTGCGTTATTTACTGCAAGTGCGTTCGCAGATATAAAACGAGATCTATAAATGCTACAATTGGACTGAGGCGTCCTACTGTCTGTTCACATCTTCGTTCGTATGCCTCCAGGGTAAATTAAGCATGGAAGTATTCATACTCAATTGGACTGCGGCTTTTTTTATAAAAGAGGAATACAGACACGCATGGGTTAACTTAAAGGTAGGTAAAATACCCCAGTCATATAACATTTCAACAAGATGCGCGGTCGACCTATTTTGGCTTTGAATAATCAATAGTAGTACACATTTAAATAAAACACTTTAACGGTTTGAAATGCCATATATGTTAGTTAAACTTATTTGATTCCATTAGTTAAACGTATTTTCGTAAAAAAAAAAATTTACTAGCATCCGACGTCGGGCCCTAGTTAAAAGAATTTTTAAATATTATAAATCGCGTTTTTAACCGTTAAAGTCTTTTATTTAAAACCTCAATAATTTGTAAATTATATTGTACATAACGATAGTAAGTATTACCTGTATGTACGCGAGTACACAGTTAACTTAAACACTTTGAACGGTTTAAATTAATATATATCACGTTTTAATCCGTCGAAACGTTCGGTTAGCGTTCATTCAATATCTATGTCACTCAAAAGTGATTTGAATCAATGGAGTCGCTACCTTATATCAACTGCATAACACGTCATACCTTTTTACGCCCTATGAACATGCAAAGCCTTACTTTCTGGGTCAAAGCCTACAGCACAGACCACTAACGCGACCGTATCGCCTTTCATTCATGTCATATTTTCTGATTACTAAGAATTAGAGTTTTATGAAGAATATGAAAATGTATCGTTTAATATTCGAATAAATAGGTCATTTTGAAGCTTGCTTACATTACATAGACATGATTTCAAATAATGAAATTACGAAATTCGTTGTCAATGTATGCACTTTTGATTTGGCACGTTTTTTGATGACGGCATTGTTTGTTTTAGATCCAAGTCCAAGGGCACTGGCTGTACTTTATATAAATTATTCTATTCACTTTTTATATTATGTTCCAAGTATATATATACTATAGATAACTACAGTAGGCTACGCGAGTAGTACACATATAAATAAAACACTTTAACGGTTTCAAACGCGATATATATAAGATAAGTATATTTGTAAATAATTGTATACTACACTACAGGTCGACTTTAAGGATACTTTGCAGCAGCCGTGGTCATGGGGAGACGACGAACAGGCTCTAGTTAAAATAATTTCCAAATACGTTAATCCGTTAGTGTTTTATTTAAATAAACTACAGTATTTAAACAAGTTAGAGTTAAAAAAGCTATACCTCGATAAAATAAGAATATTGCAAAATATTTAACATACTTTTTCATATTATCAGAAAGATCTAAGGTTTAGTACCTAAAACGTAATAATTTAAAGGTTTAATTAGTACATTTAAATTTCTCGATTTTAATGAGATTTTAATTTTATTATCCCCGCCATAATAATGATTCGTTTGACATTTCGTTGGCAACAGTCTTAGTAAATAAACTCTAGGCAGAAAAATTTAAGCACAAGTATGTTAAAATATAAAATACAAAATCACTTTTATCATACCTGTCGTTAAAAATATGACTAATCACTGCAAATTACGTAAAACAGATTTTAAGGGAACACGTAATTATATAGCCCATAATATAAAAATTAGATTAAAGAATATGAAATAGTATTTACTTAAATCCTCTTTGCAGTTTACTTATAAGAATTTCAACGTGATTGCCGAAACATGGTTAATCCGCTTAGGTTTTTATATGTTTTCGCTTTTCACGTTTCAGTCAAGGTGAGATTTTAGTACTAGGTTTTAGGTAAAACTATTAGTTTATACGGTACAATATACTGTTTGCAGTGGGTCACCTTTAGAACTTATGAGATAATTCGAAATATTCAATTATTTTCACTGTATGTATCGAAAAAAATCTTCAATCAATCAACACACTAGTATTCTTAATTTAACTTAATATCTTCAATCTAATACTGCCTGTAGTTTACTGAAGTAGTACTCATTTAAAAAAACATTTTTATCGGTTTAAAACGCGTAATGATTACGGGGAGACCGGCTCCATGGCCGCCTTAAAGCAACCGAAACGGCACGCCGTAAGTTTTTAACTAATATGTTTCTCGTTTTAAACCGTTTACAGTGTATTGTTCAAATCCTTAATTCAATCAAATCTAAATTTTGTGCAAAAAAAACCCTACGAACCTTAAACGTCTTGAGCTAATAGCGGGCTGTGCTAATGAGCTACCGAGCTCCTTATCCTAATTTTTCTTTAATATATTTTTTTTCCTGAAAGCTCTCATTTGTGTATGTAATATCAATATGTATATTATTTAGAAATGTTTTAAGTTTCGTCTGAAAATTCTGAAGATTAAATAGGAATATCGAATTGCACCCGGGTTACGAACCAACGTCCACAAGGAAAAAGTCCACGATTCTAATTACATGTACGGAGTCGGGTTTTCCCCGTTTGTTAAGCGAATCCCATGCCTGTCTTTCATCTATTATACAAGAGACATAGACAACAACTGTTTAAAGGTTATTTTTCAAGCATAACATAAATTGCGTTAAAACAATAGTTAGTGACAATATTTCAATAACGCTAGTACCTTGCAGCGATGTCCATACCACAATAATTTAATTGACAGATGTGTTTAAACTTGTATGTTTCAAGGCTATTTAATTTAGCACTTTGTCAGAGAACTGGTTAAACAAACAGTTATTCTCTAGAACTCGGGTTTTTGTTATCTAGATCATACATTTTGTTTTATATATAGTATACATAGATATAATTTTACAAACAACCTTCTCGGCTTTATTAATTTTATCGCGGACATTTTCTTAAATCATTCTTCCATCCATATTTATTGGTTTCTAGAACTATTTTCGCAGCTCACGCAATGGAAGATGAACCAATTTTCTCGTTTTTTTTTTCACATTTCCTCGCCGGTTAGAGCCAGGTGTGTTATAGCCTAGAGCCTCCATAAATACTCCAACCTAATACTTTTTTACTCCGAATCGAAGTAGTTCCTAAAATTAGCGCTTTCAAACAAACAAACTCCTCAGCTATATAACATTAATATATATTATTGTGAAGCTGTACCTGGAGCAGAGTTATATTCATTTGTATTAAAACAAGAGATCTAAATGGTTGCGCTTCCTCCATTACATTTAACTATTGAATCACAAAGTCTCTTCAGTGACCTTACCAATAACATTGCTATCTTTTAAGTTGACGCGTAAGCAAATTATAACGAAAATAACACTAACAAAAACACTGTCGAAACGTCGGGCCGTAGTTAAAAATAATTTTCAAACAACGCCAAGTAAAATATATCGCGTTTTAAATCGTTAAATCGTTTTATTTAAAAGAAAATAACACGTAAGTGACATTTTATATCCATTATCGGTCGTGGCCCCGGCTCGTACTTAGTTTTAGTGAACGCAACTCTTAACAAAGGCAACTAAATATCCAACTTACTATTTATTACTTCAAATAATCTAGGCTAAACGATCTAGGTCACTATAATTTATCGGTTCCACAAACCATAATAAATTGAATTAAAACGTAACGTTTTTTCTCATTGTTATTCCTTTTAAAGACGTAAGTAAAGACTTATGATGCAGATGATGTACGCAAATAAATGGAGGGGGTATTAATGTATCCATATGAATAGTAAAATCCGGTTTCCCTCTGTCATCTGTGGGACATGGGGTAACACCTTGCAGTATTCGTTTCAACAATCGGTTTATTGTTTCCTCGGGATTCAAACGTAGGACCTTTCATGCTTAACGCAATGCTACGAAACACGTTTAAGCAAAGATAGATACAGGGGCGTTAGTTGCATAAATTAATACATCTAGAAATGCAGTCATTTGTTTTCTAAGAAATGTATTATTAGGACACGCTGTATATGTGTAATATATATTATCTAAATTAATTAGCCAATTTGTGAAACCTTGCTAGATATTTGTATCAAGAGGATGTCAAGACATTTATATGCAGGAAGTGAGTAAAACCGAATGAAAGCAAGGCTAAAATTTGCAATGGAAGACAAATACACGATGAGTCATGCTGATAGTTAACAATTAATATAAATAATAAGAGAAATAACAATCTATAGGTATACGAAATGTGGTAATTGTAGTTGTTGATATAGTGATACAGTAGAGTAGTACAGTCACGAGGACTCAAGTATAGTTTTCCTGTAACACATTTGTTGAAACAAAAACGAACTTTTCTGACACGACCTATTAAAAGGGAATTTTGGCCTCCGTGTACCTATAACGCTGCTCTAATGCGTGGCGGGTAAGAGATTTTTGATTCAAGAAGACCCTTACAATGTATGTACTATCTGTAGTTTACGCGAGTAGTACACTTTTCAAATAAATCATTTTAACGGTTTAAAACGCGATATATATAATACAACACAGGGAATTTCTCCGTGACGACGGCTGCCGCTAAGCATCCAAAACGTCGAACCGTAGTTAATAATTTTTCAATAAATTTAACTAATATACATATACCGCGTTTTAAACCGTTAAAATATTTTATTCAAATGAGTAGTATAGATTTAAATAAAGCTGCTGCAACGCATCCTAAACGCTGAGCCGTATTTAAAAATATTTTGTTAACATTTCGCATTTTAAACAGTTATAAGTGTTTTATTTAAATTCTTACAACGTTTATTTTTTCTCCAGACGTTATTTTAAGCACAAGCAAAACCGAACAATTTTACGAAGTTCGATGTCAGATAGTTGCTTTTTTATCTAGACTCCAAGATGAAGGGAATGATGCAAAAAATGGTGAAGTGTTAGTAACAGTTATCAAGTGATTGGTCTATATTGTGAAATCGGGTTGATAATATTTGTATATTTGTCTTATCAGATTACACAATGATTACATTTCTACAATCGAAATCGTATTTTAGTTATTTAGTATTAATTTAATAAATCACTAAAGGTTTATGTCTGTGGAGGTGAGACAAGTTTTCTTAATGGAAGGTAAGATACCCCAATTATATAACAACTAAACAAAATGCGCTCTCTTATGTATTTTGACATTGGACATTCGGAAAGTCACACAAGTATAAAACCGAAACATGATTTTTCCATCTGATTCGTTCGTAACCTAGGCAAAACTTCGATGTTCCCATCGCTTAGTTATTATTGAGTAGGTATTGGAAAAATGACAAATATTTTAAAAACATGTTGCTGTTGGAAATCGAAGCACACACGCCACGACGACATCCCGTTAATATTATTAAATTGCTATCTTTCGATGGACGAGTCCAATCATCATCCATTTAGTGACTCCATGGTTAAAAATAAAGTGATATTTTGTTAAGAACCACCTACACAAATACAATATTCGTGACATAAGATACGTTTTCTTAAGCTACAGAACTATACTTTTACAAATATAGATTAACAGCATTCAGTTTGAAACTTTATAAGTCGCCCGCGATGGTAGCTTTACCTACCTGAAATTTTAAATAAGTTTTGCATTTTTAATGAGGATAACTAAACGTGGTGTTATTTTCAAAGAAGGTGATAATGCCCCGCTATAATACCTAATTAAGACGCGCTGTCAATCTATTTTAACTGCGTGAAACCAAAACACGGATTTACACATCACGACGTTTTTGTGTTGATGAAGTTTTGATATTCCTTCCACACCAAGTGTTCAAATATTACTACTTTTATTTTTTGTAATTGTTAGTGTATACTAACATGTTTAAAAAAGTTCTATTCTAGACCAACCATTTCCAAATCTTATACCCAATAATGATTATATATATTATACCCATGTCATTAATATCCACTTTAGCAAAACAATGTTTAAAACAACTATAGTAGTATAAATTCAAGTTTATTAGGCTGACGAGTTTTTTTGAACGCGCTAATCTCAGGAATAGCTGATTAGAATTGAAAAACGACGAATTATAGCTATTACTGACGACGTGGATCACAGAAAAATAATTTATAAAGTTGAAGAGGAGGTTTGCGAAAATACATTTTGACGCCCAAAATAACTATTCCACGCGGACGAAGTAGTGGGCACAGCTATTTATAAAATATTTAAATACAACACATTGAGAACAACAAAACGCTCAAATAATTGATAATAATCTATCTACTGCTGACAATGTTTTTACCGTTAAAGCCATTAACGTATATAATGAACGGTGTTATCTGTCAAACTAAGTTGACAAGTGCAGCAAAACGTATTTGTCCCGTAATAGCAGTTGAAACCATTATTTACACATTATCGACTGTCCCCTTTAAGTAAGGGGGTTTTTTTTTGGGGGGGTTGGGGGGTGGGGAATTTTGGGGGGGGGGGGGTTCCCCCCCGGGGCGGGGGGGGGGGGGAAGGGGGGGTTTTTGGGGGTTTGGGGGGGGGGTTTGCGGAATTGGGGGGGGAAGGGGGGGGGAAAGGGGGGGGGGGGAAATAAGGGTGGGGGAAATTTTTTTTTTAATGTTTTAAAAAGTAAATCTAAGGTAAGTATAGTATAGCTGACGTGAACACATTAAATGAAACACATTTTACTTGATAACGGCGTCCTCCCGACCACAGCTAAAGTAACAGAGATTGTAGTTTAAAATATAACGCAATATTACCTAAATTGTATAAATATGTAAGCAGCTTTAAAAAATGGCTTTCGCCGCCATTTTGTTCTTCAAGCTTCTTACGTTTTTGAGTTGTAATTAAGCACGAATTTTATTTTATTTTTTAGCATATACACAAAATATATTTTGTGGTTTATTTAAGTGATAACCATGTACAGTAACGGGGCTATTCATTACGTAAGAATCTAAAGAAAAAGCATATGTTTCTAAGTAATAATTATTAGAAATGTTTATTTGTACTTTTGAAGGCATGCTAATATTTGTTATTTTTTGGTATTCAACATGTGCATTTCAATGCACTGTGTTCCCATGTAAGTTCACAAGAACTTACATGCCAACTATCAAGCCCCCGCCCCTGTAAGAAAAATAAGACTTTACCCACCCCCCTAAATAGATATCTTAATAAAGAAATGCCCCATATCAAATTTAATTATTTTTCACGTTAAATAGTCATAAGAAGAATTAATAACAGTAGATACATATTAGATAATCTAGTAATTTGACCTAGGTTACAAAAGGCAGCATTTTCTAATAAGGCCTTAATCTAAATAACTCCAGTTCCCTTCGGCATAGCGTTGACCGTTATAAAGCGTAGTCACTGTTACTTGTAAATCACGGTCATGATTATTTTGTACTCAATCGTTTCACGTAATCAGAACTGCAGAGAGTGGCTATTGTGTTTGTTTTAACAAAAATATCTAAGAACTAGATGTGTCCACGACTTCGTCCGCGTGAAGTATTTCAACGAAATTTGATCCCCATAAAGACGGTTCTTGTGTGTTAGTGTTAGGTAGGTTAGACATATCCTATCGGAGACATTATTTGGATTATTTAAAGAAGAATAATTCTGCAGCGCACGTAACGAAAACCTTCAAGTTTAATAATAATTTGCCGTTCTTTTTTTCACATTAGCTTCTATTGTTTGCAGCTAAATGAAAGCGAACCATTTACCCATTGGAGCCTTCCTTAATAAATGGTCTAACAAACACAAAAACATTTTGTTAATTTGCTCCAGTAGTTCGTGAGATTAGCGCGCTCAAACAAACAAACTCTTCAGCTTCATAATATTAGTACAGATATGAAGTGAAGTTTACTAAACTTCAACTAAAACTGGAAAGCGAGACTTCAAATATTAAATGCAACCTTTTGAAAATTTCTCGTAAACATATTAAATTTAAATCTGCTTATTTGCTAGACATAATAAAATAGAAGTCGAAGTGGTAAAGACCTAGGTATATTAAGAAATCATTTAAAATTTGACAAACATATAGATAAGTTGTAAAAAAAGGTTTAAAAATGCTTGGTTTTATATTCGAAAACAAAGGCTTTTAAATCAACTTTATCTTAAAATTATTTCATTGTCCTCGAAATCATTTGCATCCGTTTTACAAGAAAATATAACCAGAGTAGAGTCTGTTCAAAAGAAGTTCTCTGAGGCTCAGTTAATTGAAAACACTACCACAAAGAACTATGAAGATAGATGAAAGAGCTGAGAATCCAATCATTAGAAGTGGTAGAAATCTGCACTGTTAACATGCCTCCACAAATTGTTAAATAACACCTTGATTGCCCATCTCTTCTACAAAATCGGAATCTGCGTCCCATCCTTTATTGTAGAATTATTACCTTTAGTCCTCTGCAATAAAACATTGTAAAAATAACTATGTTTAAATTCACCCATTCAGGCAATGTGTAATTGTACAACTGTGTTTTTAAATTAGATCAATAATTTTTCGTCAACTCAAATGTTCAAGAAAAGTTTTAGAAATCTTACCATCCATAATTTTAATTATTGTTTTATTTTATTTAAGTCTACCTACTGTTTTTAATTGTTATGTAAAAAACTCTTTTTTTTATTGTTTAATGTTAGTTGCGACACCTTTAAGTTAGATACAGTTATTACTATTCTTGAATTTTTGTAGTTTAATTATGTATATTGTAGCCTTGTATAATAAATAATAAATAATATATTTTAAACATATTTATTTTATTGTAAATGTTGTTGATGACCGATTCATCGAATTATTTACTTTCGACATGTTTTGTCAGTTGTTTCTTTATTTCTTTAATAATAACTAAAATGCAATTTTTATTCTTAACAATATTTTGTCGGGTTTTATTTTTTATTTAACGGTTTAAAACAAATATTTAGTACGCGTTTAATTTTTTTAAATTGTGTCCATTATAATATACTTGTCTAGCTAAATAGTCAAAAGGATGTTAACTAATTTAGCTAACTCGTCATGAACTATGAAATCACTGATATCAGACACCTTCGTTATCGTATTGTTGTAATACAATATTTTGAAAACCAGACTAGACAACGCCCATGTTTATCAACCTCTGTTAATTTCTATTAATATAACGTTAATGATATCACATTAACTATGCGACATGGACAAACGATTAATTTAATTTAAGTAAAACAATTTTAACGGTTTAAAACGCGAAATATTTAGTACGTAGTTGACGCGAGTAGTACATATATAAATAAAACAATTTTAAATGTTTAAAAAAGCAAAATGTTATATTGAACTTATCCTAAATATATTTTAATTATAGCCCGTTTTAGATGCTTTGCAGCAGGCGTGATACCACATTCGGCCGCTGCTAGTTAAAAAAAACAAAGAAAAGTTAAGTAATCAATTTGACGTTTAAACCCTGGTTCTATAGTGTACTACTCGTGTAAACTACATTCACGATGTATTTCGCGTTTTAAACCGTTAACTATTTTATGTTTACGTTTAAAACATTATTACTTAAGTATATAAATTAGAATGTTTTTTCAAATTACAAAGTAATAAAGCGTGCTTTTAACTTTTTTTTATTGGAGTATGTCTTAATCCAAGAACATTTGAGATACGCTGACATAAGTAGCATATAATAGTCATAGTTCTATGAAAGTAGTGATAAAAATCTACGAAAATTTTATATCACCCTTACGAGAATCGCTCCCCTGTTAATTTTAGTTCTCATTATTGTTAATAAACGCATCGATATCACTTCTAATGACGTTAATTATAAGATGTTGCAATAATAGAACATTGTTAGATCGCAAACAGAAATCGATGGTAATTCATGAGAACTTGCCCACAATGGCTTTTCGTATGCTTCAGAAAGCTACTTTTACATGTCATTGTTGTAGAACTGATGAGGTAATAATTTAAATAAAACACTTCAACGGTTTAAATTTGATATTTATTGAAACATTATTTTAAGTACGGCCCGATGTTTCCAATGCCCGGACCCATGGCTGCTGCAAAGTACTTCGCGTTTTAAACCCTTAAAATGTTTTAACGTATGAGTTAAATTTATTTACACGCCGTCGTCACAGTCTCCATGAGACCAGTGACGTTGAGCCGTAGTTAAAATAA